CACGAGCGGAACGGCACGTTTTAGAGTGGCCTTTTATTGTGGCCAGCCTAAGGCACACCTGTGCAATAATCATGCTGCCTAATCAGCATCTTGATATGCCACACCTGTGAGGTGGATGGATTATCTTGGCAAAGGAGAAGTGCTCACTAACACAGATTTAGACAGATTTGTGAACAATATTTGAGAGAAATAGGCCTTTTGTGTACATAGAAAAAGTCTTAGATCTTTGAGTTAAGCTCATGAACAATGGGGGCAAAAACAAAAGTGTTGCATTTATAATTTTGTTCAGTGTATATTAAAACGTAATTTTTGATTAGTAATATGCATTGCTAAGAACTTAATTTAGACAACTTTAAAGGCGATTTTCTCAATATCTAAATTTTTTTGCACCCTCAGATTCCAGATTTTCAAATAGTTGTATCTCGGGCAAATAGTGTCCTATAGTGTCCAAACCATACATCAATGGAAAGCTTATTTATTCAGCTTTCAGATGATGTATAAATCTAAATTTCGAAAAATTGACCCTTATGACTGGTTTTGTGGTCCAGGGTCACATATTTGTTAATTATACTTGATGTGCTCTTAATGTTTACTAATGATGGTGCAAAGAGGGTTGATTTAATATTAATAGTACTTTTCTCCTGTTCTGTTGAGATTGATTTTTTAAATATTATGCTATACACTACCATTCAAAAGCCAGTAAGATTTTTTTTTTCTTTTGAAAGAAGTCTCTTATGCTCACCAAGGCTGCAATTCAGAAATCATTATAATAGCCTATGCTGATTTGCTGCTGAAGAAACATTTCTTTAGCAATGAACTATTATCAATGTTAAATACAGTTGTGCTTCTTGATTTTTTTGGAAAGTATTATATATTTCTTTCAAATTTCTTTGATGAATAGAAAGTTCAAAAGTACAGAATTGATTTACATGCAAAAGTCACTTTTGATCAATTTAATGCATACTTGCTGAATAAAAGCATTCATTCCTTTAAAAAAAAAAAATATTATAGACCCCTAACTTTTGAATGATAGTGTATAGTGTAAAAATAATAATAATAATGTCAAATGTAGCACTTTTTTAATTCATTGTATTATGTGCTTATAAGTATCTTCATATTTCCACACATTGATGAATCATTCATCATAATTATTTAGCTTTATTATTATCTGGTCATGCTCTTTTCAGAAAAGCAATTGTTATCCAGTAACACTGATTTGAACTGAGTAAACATATTCTAAGAAAAAATAGCTTATGAAAATTCACTGCATTTATATATGTTGTATATCAATATCCCAAGTAGTATTATATATAAAAAATGGCTCACCAATGAGTCTGGTGTAAGATGTAAGGCAGGCCTGATAGTCATCGTTGAGGCAGCTGCTGATGGAGTGAGGGGTCATCTGACAGTTTGTGTGGAAATCAGCCAGTCGTGACCTTGGCACAAAAACACAACAGCAACATGAAACTACTTTCCATGAAAAACAAAGTACGGTCAGTCTATAGTTTTGCCTAGGGGTGAAACATTGGGAAAAGTTTGTGTGTATGTGTTTATGCCTGAAGAGGCCAGCTGCAATCCACAAAGGACAGAGTTTGAGTCTGTGCATGTTCAGAGGCATCTTCAGCTTCACACATCACTGCTTTTTCTTCAAGATAATGGGAAACCATGACCATTTCTCTCTCTTTTGCTGTCTTTCATGCTTTCCCTCTCTTTTTTCCTCTGTTCATTATTAGTCATCGTTGCTGACCGTGACCGCAGCATGTCTGTGGTTCAGAGGCATCTCGAGGGTCAGGCAGAAGACAGGACATCCTCTCTGCAGCATAAGAGAGAACAAGAACTTCCACAAATACTTCAACTGTCTTCTTATAGCTTAGCCTTCCAATCTCTGTCTGTATAAGGCAATAAATAAACCACTGGCAATTTGTTGTTGCAGAGAATTTTAAACATTGTCAGACAAGTTTACAGATGCCATTGACATGCAGTATTTCTGTCCGCCTCCTGCAGGAGATCTGGGAGCACTGCTGTGTGGCCCAATAATTGAACAGACACAGCGGACATTTCTCAGCACCCATAGACATCACCAGTCCAACCACACACCCAACACATAGTCATCTGTCCTTTACATTTATGGTCATTTCTTTGCTGTTTGGTTGCTTATCGGAACGGTTTATAACAGAACTGTGCATGATCTCATTAGTAGTCATACTGTAGACATTGTTGGTTCCAGCACACATACATTTTCATATGTTGCATAGAGATTAACTCATACATTATAACATATAGACAGCTTCTGAAACATTAGCATTTTGTGTATGGGTGACTTTAGAGATGTCCAAATGTTTATGAATCATTTTATGTTCATAGAATATTGAATTCATGGAATTAAAAGGTTGATTTTATTGTATTTCATCAATAAGATTAATGAGCTCAGAAATGATCTGTATAATAGTATATTGTAACTATGTACACTATTTTTAAAAAAGTTTGTGGTCTGTAAGATATATATACATGATCCTTTAGAAATCATTCTCATATGCTTATTGGTGCTCAAGCTCAATTTCTTCTTATTATCAGTGTTGAAAACAGTTGTGCTGTTTAATATTTTTTTTGTGGAAACCATGATTTGTTTGTTCAGGATTGTTTGAATGCAAAGTTTAAAGAAAAGCATTTATTAGAAATCTTTTGTGACATTACTAATGTCTTTTCTGTCACTTTTGAACAATTTGATTTGTCCTTGCTGAACAAAAGTATTATTATTATTATCATTCCCCAAGTAGTTAGGTTTAGGATTGGCGTAGGATTGGGGTTAGGGGCTAAAAAAAGTATACTAAACTAAAATGTATACTCTATACTGAAATGTAACTATCCTATTCTGCAGCTGTGAAAATGTAGCCGATGTGATTCTCAGATTATCCACTTTGTCCAAACAAACAGTGTGTATGTTCTTTATTATTTATTAAAATTATGGTTTTAAAAAGTTACTGAAGAAATAATTTCATAATTCCTATGAATCTGCTAAAATTTTAGTTTTTCTCAATGACAGATATCCAAAGAGGCCTTTTTTTACTCCTCATACACTGTATATTTTTCTGTAGTCCGGAACAACAAAATCACATCCAATCATGAACATATTTTATATTAAATATACAGACACGTGGAGCGTGATTTTTACTACTAAGGATTTACAGGAGACCGAACTAGCGAATTATAAAATCACATCATGCAGTGCTTATAGTCCGACTAGTTGAAACAAAATGTTTCACATTGAAAAAAAGTTCAAATTGACAGTTGCATCAATGAATTATCAGCCTTGCAATTGCATCATTCATATTAAGGTAGCTCCACAGAAGAATGGGTTCTGAAACAACCCTACTATTAAAATATGATTACAAAAGTTGGCTTGCATCACACTATTATTATTGCATTTTTCAGACATTATCTCCAGTCTTAGAAACTTCTCCTTCAAAAACCACTTGGCGAACACTGTTTTTCCAGTGCCCTTTGTTGCACTCAAAGTTTGAGTCAGACAGAAAGTACAGTTAGAAGCAGGTCTCTGTGGAATGTAGTACTACTAAACACAGATACAGTCCCAGCGGCATCCGGTGTGTATTTAACTCGTACACACTCCCTCATTTGTAAATACACCTTTTAATTAGCATACAGCTAAAGACCCCGCTGTGATTTACATGTCTAATTACATCTGTTCACGCTGCTAGAATCAAATGGAGAAGTGCAAAAAATATTGATGTACCAGTTGGGTTCCCAACATGATATAAATACTTGAAAGAATGGGGGCTGGAAGTCATAAAACTTCACAAAACTTTCCAAGCTCCCTGTTCTAACTTTTTCAAACTATTGCACAATATGACGAGATGTTTTATATCATGTAATACATTTACAATGTTTTTGTTTTTCAAAGCAGAACCAACAATGCCCATTGAAATATATACTTGACAAATTTTTGGCAAAAGCAAAGTTTATTCCAATGCATTTACTAATAAATAATGCAAAAGCCCATATCCTACATAAATTATTGCAAGGGTTTCCATGAAAAATCAAGGCTTACTCTTTGCCCTGAGAAAATACAAAACAGAACCAGTGCTACAGTCTGTTGTGAATGAGCCTGTAAGTTGAAACACATTGCTCAGCAGTGGTGTGTGGTAAACCTCTGAAGAGGCAAAGTTCTCTCTCAGAGTTTGTTTTATCTTCAGTCCAATGTAAATGAATTTACCTGTTACATTTGATATTTTACAAAGTTCCCAGGTACATGACATATGGAACACTATTCCCTTACACTACACTCTCAGAAAAAAAGGTACAAAGCTGTCACTGGGGTGGTACCTTAAGGTATAAAAGCTAAAAGGTACATCTTTGTACATTATTTACCCCTAAATGCTACAAAGGTATTAGTACCTAAATAATTGTATATTAGTAAGTTTTGAAAGGGTACCACCACAGTGACAGCTTTGTAATATTTTTATTTGTATTTGTATTTGTTTATTTTAGTTATTTTTCAGAGAGCAGGGACTTCAACAAGCAATTAATATTAGAATATTATTATATATTTATATTAAAAATCTATTTTTTTAAAATAAATCATATCAAAGTTTTTTTTTTAAATTACATTAATGCAGTAGAATACAATATTTAAAAAAGCTGTTACTTGGGTATTATTATTATTATTATTAGTTTATGTATGTATGTATTTTTTTATTTTTACAGTGTAGCCAATCACAGCAATGTGGACACACTATATCCTCTCATGTGACTTTTTGCCTATATTTGTCAGTGAGAAAAAAATGAGCTCAAGGGAGGCAAAAAGAGTAGTCTGCAGTTGCAGTCTCCCACTGGAAGAGTGTTATTTTTTAGAGAAATTAGTTGTTTATGCATTATTTGATCTTTTATTTTGTAATATAATATTTGTTTTATTTTTTGTATTGTTGATTATTTTCCCTCTTTATCCCTCTGGGAAAAAGCATTCCTGTTCTTCAGCTGCATCTTTCGAGATGCTCATAGACATAGTGACAAGTGATGGACACTGTTTCCCCCCATGTAATCAGGAATTGAAATTGCTGCCTGTTTTAGACTCAATCAATAGTAATATCTCTTATTCCCACACCTACAGCTGTGACATTATCAGATGACGAAAGACTCTGAAACTGGACCTCCTTTAGTTTCTACTGCATTAACCAGCTAATGAAGCAAATAATGCTTGTATTATTTGTTCTACATCTTATTTGTTCTCTCTCTCTTACAGTATTAGTTGTAATCTCCGAGCACATTGCACTTTTCCTTTTTGTTTCAGTGTAATGAGATTTTTTTTCTTTCTAATTTTAGACAGACTTTACTCTATCTAGTCAAATGAAGTACTCATCCTGCTAATGTGTTTAAGCCAAAAGAGGAGTGTGTTTTTATATCATGCGGAGCTGTTATGGTAACTGAAATGTATCTTATAAGCAGAGAAGATGCAAGAACCTACCAAACAGTTGTTTTTCATGGCAAAAGCAGACAAGATAGACCAAGATAGAAAGGTTGTAGCGGCAGGTTTTGCCTTTCAGGTGAGGACAATATAACTGCTATAATTTACTGTTCACTTGAAGTTTAGAAAAGGCTGTCTAGGATTGTTTGGGCAGAAAGTGCTCTGGCATCAAGATAAAGCACATTTCAGTTCTTGCTAGGACTCCTCTATTATACCTGAGCGGACCACTCACTGCTCAAATTACAGCCTGTCTGCCTTCGTAGGGTTAGAAAGGTCCTTTTAGATTCTCTATTCTCTGAGAAAACCCCAAAATGAGCACTGCTAACAGTTCTTTCATTTAAAAAAAAAAGATGCTTAAAATACTGTAATTTGGTCAGTTTTTGCGATAATGAATCTCGATCCAGTGCTTTTCAGGCAAATGGTTAATTAATATTTTTCAAACTGTGCTTCTCGTTGCTATGGACGGCACTGAAACAGAGGAAGCGTTAGCGTTTATCTTCAAAGTGTACAGGAATTAAATGGAGCGGTAGTTTGCAATTAATTATTTCTAGTTCAAGTATTTTTGAATCATCAAAAATTTGTTGGACAGCATATTTAACATGAATAAGGCTGTGAGGGACAAATGTAAATTCGCACAATGTCCAGTATTTTGGACCCCATTGACTTTCACTGTATACACAAAACAGTTTAAACATACCTTAAAATATTTTCTTCTTTTTTTTTTTTTCCAAAATAAAGAAACAGTCGACACCAAGGTATGCAACATTATAACCTATTGAACAGACTGTACATACTGCATGTGCAGTACTTGTTTATGTGACAGTGAGAAGAAATTACTTAATCTGATGGCACAGAGGCCAGGTTTTTTTCAAACATTTTGAAGTTTGGTGAATAAAGATTAAAATCTGCTTTCATTGCACATGGAGCACCTGAAGCTATACCTCTCAATTGGCTATT